TACGGCGCCTTACAGTGCCCCGCTCCCTCGGCACCGTCCCTGGGCAGTGTGGGAGTACAGCGCCCCGCTCCCTCGGCACTGTCCCTGGGCAGCGCGGGAGTAAGGTGCCCCGCTCCCTTGGTCTCACGAGAGACGGAGGGGTCTGTGGACGCTCGTCACCCACACCCCACGCGCGCTCCCCCCCACAACTCCCTCCACCACCCCCAGCCCGCCCCAGCAGAGGGCATTGACATGTTCCCCAGGGGCCCTCACCTTGTGGTCTCGCCCATCTACCTCGTACACAGAGATGTTGGTTTTGCGATAGATCTCTTTTCCAGGCGGCTGTCTCCACTGGCACTGTGACTGTGGGAAGGAGACAGGGCGACAGGGGTAGAAAAACACACAGGGAGAGGGAGAGGGAGAGGGAGAGACAAAGAGAAAAACACAGAGGCACAGGCTCAGATAAAGAGAGAAGGATTGATAGAGAGAGGGAGGGAAGAGAGTGTGACAGATGGAGACAGAGGGGAAGAGAGAGAGAGACAGAGAAAGAGAAAGAAACACAGAGACATATACTCAGATAAAAAGGGAATGATTGACAGAGAGGGAGAGAGAGAGAACACGAGCGAGGGAGAGAGAGAGAACGTGACAGAGAGAGAGAGAGTGAGAGTGACAGAGAGACAGAGAGAGAGAGAGAGAGAGAGAGAGAGAGAGAGAGAGAGAGAGAGAGAGAGAGAGTGTGAGAGAGAGAGAGAGAGGGAGAGAGAGAAAGACAGACAGGGAGGGGGGAGAGAAACAAACAGTTGAACAGATTAAGCAGCAGCGATGTCCCCAGGGGAGTAACTGTGGGGGTGTCTGGGAGACACGCCCCTCTGCCTCCCGCATGGCGTCCAACCCCACTCCCAGAGACACCCCGTTGGGAAGGAGGAATGGGGGAATTACCCCTCAGGAGGGGCCGTTCGGTGCTCCCCACCTCCACCTCGGCCAAGCCAGCTTACCAAGTGGAAGCGGTAGGTCCTCTCGAACTTCATGTATTTAAGACAGTACTCGCAGACCCAGAGCTTCGGCTGCTTTCCATAATCCTCGGGGAACGGGGAGAAATACCAGGCATCAATCTCGTAATTCCCAATCTGGATCTTATCCACGTATTTTACCTTGGTGATCTGTGTGACACGGGGTGGGGGGAGAGAACGGAGAGACACTGACACACTTTCATAGTCATAGAGATGTGCAGCACAGAAACAGGCCCTTCGGCCCAACATGTCCGTGCCGACCCAAATATCCAAAATTCATCCAGTCCCATTTGCCAGCATTTGGCCCATATCCCTCCAAACCCTTCCTATCCATGATCCCATCCAGATGCCTTTTAAATGCTGTAACTGTACCAGCCCCCACCCACTTCCTCTGGCAGCTCGTTCCATACACGCACCACCCTCTGCGTGAAACAGTTGCCCCAAAGCTCCCTTTTCCCCCTCTCACCTTAAACCTATGCCCCTCTAGTTTTGGATCCCCCCCGCCCTACCCTGGGGAAAAGCTATTCCCCCCATCCATGCCCCTCATGATTTTTTATAAACCTCTATAAGGTCACCCCCTCAGCCTCCGATGCTCCGGGGAAAACAGCCCCCAGCCTCTCCCTGTAGCTCAAACTCTCCAACATCCCTTTTCCGAACCCCTTTCCCGACATCCTTCCTGTAGCAGGGAGATCGGGATTGAACACTGTATTCCCAAAGTGGCCTCACCAACACAGCTGCAACACGACCCTCCCAACTCCCTACGCTCAACGCACTGACCAATAAAGGCAAGCGTACCGAACGCCTTCTTCCTTACCCTTCCTTAAATGCAGTGATCGAAATCGCACACAGTGCTGCAGACAGGGCCCCGACAACTCTCTACACAACCGTAGCAAGACGTCCTGCCTTTTACGTTGCATTCTGCTCACAATGACTGACTATTTACCCCTCCTGCCTCGTGGATCTCAGCTGGTATGACTACTGCGTTGCACATATCAAAGGAAGAAATCGCCTGAAATCCTTCACAATTCTGCAAAGGAAGGCTGACGATTCAAAACCTCAGCGTTGAACAACCCAGGCTCGACAACCGTCGGCATGGAAAGGATTCCACGGGTTCACTCCCCTCGCAGAGAAGAAATTCCCCCTCATCTCCGCCTCTTCTGAGATGGTGCCCCTATGGTCGTCTGCTCTCCCACGTTGGGAAACAACCTCTCCACGTCTCCCCCGCTACCCAGCAACCTCTCCATGAATCTGTTGCCCCAGAGATTAAAACAAAAAGCTCTCCCTGGCTCACCGCAACATTCGACCTGTTGTGTCTGTACTGCACTGGAAAGGGCTAGCTCCATTCTCCAGCCCGGTCTCTGTACCCCTCTAAATTCATCCCCTACAAACATATTCCTGTTCTCTTTTGAAGCCTGGTGTTGGATTCCACCCCCCTGCCTCGGGCAGCTCGCTCCAAATCCTAACAACTCCCTGCGGGAAGTAGTTTCTCTGTATCTCACTCCGAGCTCTCTTGCTGACGGCCTTGAAATTGTGATCCCCGAGTTACTGATGGACAAACTGGTGGAAACAGATTATCCGCTCCTACCCTGCCAAAATTGTTCATAACTCTGTAAGGGGAGGCGATGGCCTAGTGGTATTATCGCTGGGCTATTAATCTAGAGACCTAGGCAATGTTTAGGGGACCCGGGTTCCAAACCCCCTGCGGAAACCGCCATCCTTACCTGGGTCGGGCCTACATGTGACTCCAGACCCACAGCAATGTGGTTGACTCTTAACTGCTCTTTGGGCAATTAGGAATGGACAATAAATGCTGCCTGGTCAGCGACGCCCTCATCCCGTGAATGAATAAAGAGGGAAAAAAAAAGGTCACCTCTGAATCTTCTCTGCTCCAATGGGAATAAGCCCACACTCTCTAATCCTTCCCGGAATCTAAAATCCCTCATTTCTGATATTGTTCGAGCATATCTCCTTCTCTCTCTCTAGAGCTTTAACATCGTTCTGGCCAAAACTGAACACGATACTCCAAAATGTGGTCTGACCGATGATGTGTAAAGATGCAGCATCACTTGCTCCTTCCCCAACAGTTTCAGCTTGCCCGGCCACATTCAATCCCTCAGCTCAGGATTGTACCATTGAGCTTGTGCTGCCCACTTGCGTTTCTTCAACCAAAATGCGGTCGAGCCAGTTAAAAGGTTAATGACCTCTGTGAGGACTGTATCTTTATACCTGACGTTATCTGCGATCGCGGTGCTCATTCGGAAAAGGGCAGCTTTACAACGAAGGGCAGAGAGGAATTGTTCTGTTCTTTTACAGAGCAAGGGAGTGAAACTCACTGGGGGGGGGGGGGGGGGGGGCAGTGTTTACACTGCTGCCTGGCAAGCAACTCACTGGGAGCAGTGTTTACACTGCTGCTTCGCAAGTGGCGGTGGGCAGAAAGGTGCAAAAGGAGATGGCCTGGCTCTCCCGCACGCCTCCAGATTTGAGATTCGGCCTGCAACACGTAGTTGATTGGTTTGGCTGACTGCTCCCCCAGGCCTGGTGGGGACATCAGCCTGACGACAACTCTCTGATTGGTTTCTGCGTAGCCGAACAGGCTCGGAGGGGTCCACTGAGGATGGGAGGTGGCATCTCTGTCGCAGCAGTCAAATATCCGAAACTAAAGAGAGATGGTCGTTTGCTCCTGCCAGTCGCTGCTAAAGCGCTGTCCTTAACCGGTCAATCAGAGATTTCATGAGTTGTGAACCAGTCGCTCCGTGCCTCATGTGCAGAAACGGACTCGAGGAGTGGCGGATAGAAAGAGAGACAAATTCCGATGTTCAGTAACGTTGGGAGCCGGAATGTGATGCCAAAGTACGTGCTGAAGACTTGCAAGATACAGTTTGGTTTTAGGGCTGATGGGGACTTAGGGTGTGGAGAGGAAATGGGAACAATTAGCCACGACTATAACGAACAGCACAGCAGGCTCAAAGGCCTAACACCAGCTCCTAATTTCAAAGTTCCACCTCACTGGGATAGCGTGTTGGGAATCAAACCCCGCTACATCAGGGCTTGTCACAAAATTTAATCACTTAAGGATGCAAAGATTTCCCCCATTTAGAGATTGTAA